TTCTTATTATGCCTTAGATTTAAATCAACAGATATAAATAAATTATTTTTACATGTACATGAATGCAAGGAAGAGGCAGTCAGCACCCACTAGAGCAGGGGTGTCAAACTCACAGCCCTTGGCCTGGATGCGTCACGTGCTGGCGCTGCCCCGCCCGGTTTAGCGAAGGGGAGAAAAGTCCTGATACGTCATGTGACGCCACCGTGACGAACTGAATTTGACACCCACCCATATATATACTCCACAAGAGTATATATATCTTATATAGAAAATATAAAATGTATACAGTATTCTCAGAGAACATAATATATGAATCCTGAAAAGAAAATTAAATGTAATACTTGGATCGACATCTACTTCTCTGATAAAAATATGCAGTTTGATTTGGGATTAAATAGTAGCTATGCTTAGGCTTATAATGAACCAATGATCAATTTTCCTAACATGCCAACAATGCATTTCATAACAAGATCAACCTGTGACCCATTAGCGGTGATTGGTTGACTACTAGGATTTTGAAAAAGCCTCTTGGTTTTGCTTCCTGTCTGAGAATGCAAAAATTTGGGATTTGCCAGGCACTTTTCAAGCCACAATAGTTGTCTGCTGGGCTGCATTCAAGTTTTGAAGGTATGTCAAATATAAATATGCAGGTATATCTGTTGTGTAATAACATGCATCATAATTTTAGCAATACTATACATAGAATTAAGTCTCTTTGTTTTCAGTTGGCCTTCTTCCAGGTTTTAAGGTATCTTGTAAATACCTAGCTTTCATTCACAACATAAGATGCCAGGTTTCAGGGTTAATAGTGGAACTTTAATGTCAGTTTAGAAACTTGAGAGACCCAGAATTCTAGTCCTGCCTTAGGCAAAAACCACTGGGTGACCTTGGGGTAGTCATTTTCTCTCAGCCCTAGAAAGAAAGCAATAGCGAACCACTTCTGAAAAGCTTTGTCAAGAAAACTGCAGAGAATTGTCCAGGCAGTCTCCAAGAATCTGACGACTAAATGGGAGGGGTTAAAAAAAAAAACCCTAGGGAGCCATTAAATGCTTAAAAAATGTATTTTGATAATTTGGATTGATTAGCTTGGATAAGTAGTTTTCAAAACTGTATACTTTCAAATAAACATTTTAGCAAATTTGCCGAAATAATTTCAAAATCCAGATGATTCTGAGATATGTTTTGGGGATGTAATATTCAAGTATTACTATTACCTTCATTCCACTAAGCTGTGACTTAAAGCTTTGTAGAAGAAGAAGATCAGTAGAAGTAGGTCAAGTCGTCATTCAGAAAAGATTGCCTAATGACACATATTCCCATTGAGGAGACTGTCAGGGAATTCCAGATCTACAGAAAATGGTTGTAAACCATAGTTTCCATCTATATCATGCATGAGCATTGTACCACCTTTAAAAATTGCACTGAATCATCCCTATACTAATAAGAAAGCAAGTCCCCACCCCCACCCCCAGCCCTCTACTAAACTAAACAGTTGAGAACTTATTATAAAGATAAGAAAGGTTTGATTTTGGTACGATTTGCCCTATCATTACAGAGAAATACTGTAAAACTAGCCTGGGTGCGGTGGAATGTTTTAACCTGACTGCAGATAATTTTATTGAAAGTAGTACTTCTATTATACTATAAAGTGAGGTATTTCTTTTCTTTTCTACAAGTAAATCATATTCAGTGCCTAATAGTGCATTGTATTCAGTCTGCTCATGTTCTTCCTTTCTGATTGCCTCTTCCACTGAATTTTCAGCACTGAACATTTTAAAATCTCACAAAAAAAAAAACCAAAAAAAAACCACAGTCAGAACTAAAATAAAAACTTTGGAGTATAGTGGAAATCATCACTATCCCAGAAAGCCAATGTGTATTTCAACAGAGAATAAGAATTCTTTGCAATACAAATTGCTCTCTTTTGCCAAGTAGCATGACCTCTGTCATCTAATCTGGATGGGATTTATTTACTGTTACTGTTCAGCTAGCCTGAATTGATAGCAAATTCCTAGAGTTATGTTTTTAATACCATTCAGATAAACAGCTATTGTTTACAAGATTTTAATGTACTGCTGTTGGTCTAGAATAAAATAAAATGTAGTATGCTGCTAACCCCAGCCTAGCAGATTTTCTACAAAAGAAAAAAGAAAAAAAAGAATGATATATTAGTACATTGCAAAACTTGTAAGACATTAACTTTGTGATGAAATGAAACAATCATCACTTGAAGTCAAAAAACTTGTTCTCATTTTTAATATAGTGTTATTAAAAAAAATAAGCCTAGTAAAAATAAAACCTACTAAGAATAAACTATATATTCATAGCTAAGCATGTGGAGGTATTTACTAAAAGTTGCATCTTTTTGCATTTAAATAATTCATAAAACCTTTTACAAAATCCCCCATCGAAACCACTGGAGATGTGCGTTGTCATGGTTTATGAGTTGGCTATAAGATAGGAAAACAAGACTAAGAATTAATGAGCAATTTTCACCTTGAAGTGATATGTAAAGTGGGTTCAACATTAATCAACATTGGAGAGATTCCTTAAAAAATGATCTACATCAATGGCCAAGATTGTAAATGAATCAATAGCATGGTCAAGATTGTCAATGGTAAGCTGCAAACTAAGTATTATTTAATGTAAGCAAATGGAAAATAATGTATATGAATTCTAAAAATTCAAACTTCACACATACATTAGTAGTATAGAAGCTGGCTTGTCAGGAAGGGAATCTTAAAATGAAAAGCTCCATGACACATTAGCCTGATTTGTGACTCTGCTAAAAAGGTATATTAAATGTCTGGAGTCCTTAGGATGGGAATTGCTGGAAAAAAGACTGCCAAAGCAGCTAAGGCTCTAGAGTAGTTTCTTGGAATTTTTTTTTAAAGTTTATGTGAAACTAGGTAAGGGAAGACTTGATAGAAGGATATGAATATAGTATAGAAAATAGGGATAGAGAGATTTTTTCTTCCTTTCTCACTGTTAAACCTCAGAGATATCCTCTGTGATTAGATAAAAGGATATAAACAGATATACTTCTTTCCTCAAAACCATGCTATATTGTGGATTGATGGTATGAAATGTGTTAAGGAACAGCAATTTAGAGAGTTTTACAAGGGGACTGATGAATATATGGAGAACCGGTCTTTTAATGATCACCAGTTTGGATGATTGTAAATTACCTTTTAGAGCATACTGTTTAAATATCAGTTTCTAAATATCAGTTTCAGTTGCAAAAGTGGAAGAGGACAACTACCCTCTTATACCTGTATCTGGTTAGTTACTAGGTGACACACAATAGTGGAGTAAAAGAGTTATTGGCCTTATCCAGTAAAACTAACATTCTTAAACATAGAAGAAATACACAGAACAGGTATGTAGCAGTAGAATGCAAACAACTTTTTAATACTACAACTCTGGAAGCTGGTTAAACTGAAACTTACTCTAGATGATACTGGAATGTTTTTGGTCCAGAGATGTACAGATTCTAGAAGGACTTCAATCTGCTTTAAATGGGGAGGCGATGGGAAGAATCAAATTCATGATTTAAAGATGCCACAATGACATTGGGTACACACTTACAGATCACACTGTATATTTGCAAGGGCTACATCATTTTTCATTTTGAATTCTAATCAGAATTCAAGGCATTAGTGACGCAAAGGCTTAGAATTCTTTGAAGATCAAAATCTGATGGAGAAGCACTTCTCCTCATTTCAAGAGTGGTTGATGAGTGTATGAGAAAAGACTTTCCAGGTGACCTTACCTTCACAGTGGAAAATGTTATCCTGAGAAGATAAATTTACATCTTTTTAATAACTCCTTTTGCCTTTTTATATTGTAATGTATTTTATTATTGAGTTGTTTACTACAGGAGAATGTATAAATATTGGAACTGCACCATATAAAGCTATATCTCTATCATCTCTATCTATGCACATACAGAGACACACATTTTTAAAAACCAGACGTCCAGGTTATGGCAACCCTAGTTAAAACTTTTGTGCTCACTACAGAATGCCATGATGTAGAGTTGTAGGAGAATAATGTTGGGAAAACCAGGAATGCAGATTCCACCCGACATTCTAAATGAGTGCCCTACAAATAAGTAATATATGAATATATGAATAGGCTACAGTGAAAGTTGATTGCCTGGGGTCCAAACAGCCTTCAAAATTCTTCAAAGAAAATGTGTTTTCAGAACTTCAATTGATTAGATCTGCAAACAGATGCAAGTTACACAAAAGGTAACTTTTAGATAGTTCTAAAACCTATTTTTTCATAAGCAAGCTGTACAGGGGAAATAATATAGTTTGGCTCTATTCAATAAGCTGCTTATAATTAAATGGAAGACAGTGAAAATTATTATTTATTTGCATGTGAATTTTAATCAACTACTTATTAAATTTATCTCCTTTTTTTAATGAACCATCAAATTTTTTAGAATTTCCTTACTTCTATACATAATATTTTAGACAATGAAATCCATTTTGGTTTGCAAACTGATGAAATATCTATAACTTTAAGTGCTGGCTGATTCATAATTGTGGTTTATAATTGGACATTGGAATAATTTTATTTATTTATTAAATTTATATGCCACCTATCTTACTATCCAAAGTGACTCTTGGCACTGTACATCGGATACATGTGTTAAAATAATATTTGAGGGAAATTACTATGCTATGCAAGTCATCCTAAATAAATATACCCCACTCGAATAGTCAAATATATTTTATGAATACATGAACGTTATCCCAAGGAGGAACTTGTTTTTTAGATTTTATTATCATGTCTTTTAATTTTGATTTCAAATCAGAAAGAATAATCTAAAAGGTCCCAGTAATCAATATTACAAAAATAAAAACTATCCCCAGGTAATTTACATTTGTTTATGCTTTTATCTGGCAACATCCTTCTCCAGTTTGAAGCAACAGAAGACCTACAATCAGTGATTACCATGGTCTGTAAAAGCCCATGGCTCTGTCTCTTACCTGTAATCTGACTCTGTCCTTGTGGATTAAAAGGGCTTGGTGCAGAGTTCAAGGGGGGCCGTGGGCTCTGAGTCGGGACCCCTACTCTCATACTGGAATGAGGAATGCGCCCTAAATCACTGAGACGCTCTGAGAACAAACTAGGTTTAGAGTCATCAAGCTTCTGTCTGTGCCCTGGAAACAGCAAATCATAAAATAAAAGGGTGGTTAGCATGACAAATACTATTAAAGTGCTTTATTTATTATTGTGAGACCAAAGAAAATTTAGATTCAATCTGCAGCTGGTGCAGAGATCAAAGTATGGACAATTTCACTCACTATAGCATTGGTACAAGGAAGGCACTTGTATTGCTATCCAGGCATAGAACAAATCACTGCAGTCTTTATAGCAATTTATATCAGAGAAATACAATTGATTGTTTAAAAGCAGGAATTTTATAATATATAAAGCTTTTCTTCAATGATTATGTCCTGACTGTGGAGCATCTATAGAAAGCACAGGCTAATAATGAGGCCTCGGGAAAATATCTGTCATTATAGTCAGAGGCATCTGGGGGGGGGAGTACTGGGGGGTCAAAATATCAAGATATTTGCATATTACATTGCACAGACATAAGAAAAGGACAAGGCTTTGACTGGATAGTTACGGTTGCCATCTTGACTTTTTAAAATCTCATCTGTGGATTGTCCTCAATAGAGCTCTTAGTCTCCATATGACCTCTCAGTCTCATTTCGACTTTTAGTTTGCTGCTGTTGATTCTCATTTTTTCTGTTTCTATGTTCACGTAAATAAATCAGTCACTGACAGTTCAAAATTAAGTTAATGGGAGACTTCTTCCAAATTACTGTGTGTAAGACTCCAGGTTTATCTCTTTTATCCATTACTACATAGCGAGATACATTTAATATTTCCCTCTTAGAATTCATTGGCCTCATCACCTGTGCTGAGGCTTCCCATATGGTAAACTGAGCTGAGCAAATGCAGTTGATTCATGTCAACCAGGCTATTTTCTATTCTCCCCTGGATGTGTTAAAATAACATTTTAGCTTTTATTTTTGTTTTGGAATAGTTGTTAAACACCATAGTAATATATTAGGTTTAAGAAGTGTCAAATCAGATGTTCAACAGCATGTTATCATTTACCCTCAATACCTGGTGCAGGTATTCTTCTATTAAGGATTACTGCCAATTAGGAACCAGTATTGTAACATTCTTACTCTACTCTGAGTTGCCCCTCTTCCCTTCCAGACCATTTTTTCTTTCTGACAAAAATCCAACCGTTTGTAAATATTCATCATATTTAATTGTAACTGGGTTTTGGGTGGGAATGAGGAAGTTTGCCTCTTCAGTTTGTTTTTAAATTGTATTTTGGCAAACATCAGGTTGTTCTTTGTGCTCCTCAGTTAAAAAAAAACTTATTTTGCTGCATTTTTGTTTGCACTTGCTACTTGAAATCACTTTTAGCAAAAGACTTCACTGAACCAAAGGTCTACCAGGTTCTCAATGGCCTTGATTCTCCCCACATGTACCTGAACGAAGAATGATTTTACTATAGAGCCTTTAATTTTATTTCCTGAATCATCAATTAAGCAATCCTGCAAAAACAGCTAGTCCTTGATTAACGACTGCTTGTTCAGCAATTGTTCAAGTTATGACAATTGTGAAAAAAAGAGACTGACGACTAGTCCTTGAATTTGTGGCCATTGCAGCATCCCCACAATCACATGACTGCAATTTGGGCGCTTGGCAACCAGCACACATTTATGATGGACACAACATTCTGACGTCACATAATCAGCATTTGAGACCTTCACAGCCAGCAGTCAATGAGGAAACTGGTAAGAAGTCACAAGTTGCGGTCATATAACATTGTGCTTAATGGCTGTGAGTGATTTGTTTCATGACCACAGTCAGTATTGATATTGTAAGTCCAGATAAGCAATTGCATTGCTTAGCAAATGAATTGATAGTCACAATTATCGTCAGTAAGTGAGGACTACCTGTACTACAATATTAGCAACAGTTTCTAACAAGACTGCTAGTGCTACTTGTATGAAAAATTACTAATTTTAAAATACTTTTTAAAATGCATTACCAATAGGAAAACTACTATAAATCAATTTATGAATGTAATCAAGCACGAGTAACGCTAAGTATAATTTTCTGCAACTGCAAGCACTTCTGTTAGGTGATACCTTGCTAAGAAACAAGATAACAATGTAATAAGCACCAAAGATGGAGAACGTCTAGTTCAACAAACATCTCACCTGGATACTAACCCCAAAACTTTTTTGCAACTGTTGAATAGCCCTAGAATATACTGCCTGGAATTTAATTAACTAAACATTGTTCAATACAAATGTCTATCCTATACAAAAGTGTTAATACCACTTTATAATGCCTTGGTAAGGCCACACTTGGAATATTGTATCCAGTTTTGGTCACCACAATGTAAAAAAGTTGTTGAGACTCTAGAAAGAGTGCAGAGAAGAGCAACCAAGATGATTAGGGGACTGGAGGCTAAAACATATAAAGAATGGTTGATGGAATTGGGTATGTCTATTAATGAAAAGAAGGACTAGGGGTTACATGATAGCAGTGTTCTGATATCTCAGGGGTTGCCACAAAGAAGAGGGTGTCAAGTTATTCTCTAAAGCACCTGAGGGCAGGACGAGAAGCAATGAATGGAAACTAATCAAGGAGAGAAGCAATCTAGAACTATGGAGAAATTTCCTGACAGAACAATTAATCAGTGGCACAACTTGCCTCCAGAAGTTGTAAATCCTCCAACACTGGGAGTTTTTAATATTAAAACTATTGTTTACAGTTTATTCTATATGAGATAATATAGTTTCAGAGTATCAGTTGCTTATATTAAGAGATAGTATCGAATCAAATGGTTTTAGGAAACGTTTTCATGCAGGAAAATTAAGTTAAGCAATTAATACAGGTTGGTATTAGAAGAGCCCTTCCAAATAAATAAAAATAACTTATTTCCCCCTGAAATGCATAGAGTCCTCAACTTCCGACCTGTCATTTAACTGTTTGAAATTATGTCAGATTTTTAAAAAAAATGTTACTTAAGAACTATCCTTGAAGTTCTTCACATCACCCTCATAGCTATGAGATTGGATTTCAGGCATTTGGCAATTGGCTTTCATTTACAACCAATTCAAGCCACCCAGAGTTACATGATTGCATTTTGTGATTATTATTATTATTATTTTGCCTTTTTCCAGGAAAAAAAGTTGCATTCTGACTTATGATCAGTGGTGGGATTCAAGTAATTTAACAACTGGTTCTCTGCCCTAATGGTTTCTTCCAACAACCAGTTTGCGAAACTGCTCAGAAAGTTAACAACCGGTTCTCCCGAAGTGGTGCAAACTGGCTGAATCCCACCACTGCTTATGATCATGTGATTTCTTAATGAGTATCGCAAAAATTGTCTTTAAATCAAGCCCAGTCATGCATAGGACTCAACTCCAGGCTCGGTTCTGGTCGTTAAGTCAAGGACTACCTATATATAATGATTTATAATGATATTGTAAAAACTAAGTAGAGCAAATGGTGAAAAGGTAGAATTATATAGTTAGTGGAGTTTTAATGAAATAATAGAAGTTTGATTAATTTGATTAATTTAAACTGAAACCTAATTTAATTATGTTACATATCTTATATCAATTCAATGATTATTGCTCTTTTGCTATATAGCTGGGCCAGTCTCTCTCAGTCCAACTCTCCTCACAGAGTTGTTGTTATGGGGAAAATAAAAGGAGGAAGGAGTATTAGCTGTTTGTTGCCTTCAGTTATTTACAAAAACGATTAAAATGGGGCTAAAATAAATACTAACTTTTATTTGCAATTATAATATCTTCAATTTAAAGATGTGATTTAATAAAATGTTAATTAATATTAAATGCATTAATATAATTTATATTATAAAGTTACATTCTATTATTTATCTGTCTCTCTCTTGTATAACAGAATAAATCCATAGTAAAGCAATGTTAAGAATGTAGAATTGTAAATTTTTCTCAAACAGACAGATATTTTTAAAAAAAATGTTTTTAAAAGATAGCCTGTAAAATGGCAGGCAAGGAGGAAAACACAATTAAACTAGGATTATATTAGGACAATGACACCCACAAAGCTAGAGGGGAGGGTTTTTTTTTTTTTTTTTGCATGGGATAATGTCTTCCTGTATAATACACATGCTAAACACATGGTTCAAATCTAATTTGGCAACAGTTAAAGGAACAGACCAAAAGATGCAATGGCAGAGTAAGCTTGCTGAGCTACTATTTTACTAAGTGTAAAAAGCTGCACAGTGTAATGAAGACAAGACTTAGAATAAATTTTATTAAGGAAACTTTGGAGGTGATAGATTCATAACGGGGTAAGCAGCTAGAATTTACATCAGAAGATACAAATGTTTTATTTCAAAAAGCTTTATGGATTCCTCACAATTTTGCCAGCAGGAGACAGAGTAGCCTGCACTTCTAGAAAATAGGAATTTATCATAAATCATATGGATTCTTTCAGGTGTCTACAGAATGCTTCACCCATTGTTTGGGATTTACATGGCTAGAAATGTTCCCATAGTTCTATGTCTTCAGTATTTGTTTATTTTATTATTTATTACATTTATACATCACCCATTTCATTATGGCAGTCACTGAGCAACTTACAAAATGATAGAAAAGTTAATGCAAAATGATTAGAATTAGGAAAAATTAAGTATAACAAAGACTAAAAACCAAGAGAGCAGGAGGCAGGGGTGAGGATCTTTGCTCTACCAGGGGTGTCAAACTGGCGGCCTGTGGGCCGGATGTATCACACGCAGGCCACACCCACCCCATCTCCATGAATGGGGAAAATGTTGTGAATCCTCACATGACAGCAACGTGACACCGGAGGTTGACATCCATGCTCTAGTCTGTCCTGCTCCAGCCCCAGCATAGAATGCCCCATCAGCATATTAGGATGTTATATATTATTATATTAGGATTATTACGTTAGATATAGGATTCAAGCTTTTCCACATAACATTTTGCAGAAATCTCAAATGTTTTTATGGACAACTATAGCATATCCCTCATTCCATTTATTACACATAGTGAAGTCTGTTGGTTTTTTTTTTTTTTGCAGTTGTTTTTTGCAGTTGTAAATTCTT